TTCATTGAAATTTGAGCTCTAATGTATTTGCACCAGCTGTGCTCTCAATTCAATCTTGCAAGTTACATATTTTATGTGGAGTATTGTGTCATGAACAAACCTGCATTCATCAGTGGAAGATAAAAATGGAGATCCCTGACTTTTTTAGTTTTAGGGTTAGTAAATATATAAAAAATTAAACATAAAGTTTAACATTCTAAGAAATGATAGATACAAGGTTTTGCTTGTTTTTGTTTTTCTAATGGTGCATTCAGCAAAATGCTAGCTATATGGTGGCGGTCTGTAAATAATTGAGTCTGGACCAAACAATACAGTGACCAACGGCATAAGCATTGTTCTACGTAATTGCAATAAAATGGCACCCATCAACCAAGTCGCCAAGCCTCACCAACGATCCCATTAGTCACCTTTTACAACAAGCATGGGTTGTTTAAGACCAATTCCAACCCTAATCTTCACAGGTAGTCACTAGAAACAATGGGTACAATGTGTGAGCCCATTTCCGGTGTCCCCCACCGTGAGATTGCTTGAATGTTGCTAAAAGCGGCGTAAAACCATACTCACTCACTCACTCACTAGAAACAATACTCAAGAGTACTCTCTAATTTATTCTGACACATGTGTTCAGTCATTGAAATCACCAGCATTGTCGTCATGTTTGCTGTCTTAAACTGTCCCCTTCAAAACGATCTCTCTGAGGATAACGTCTTTGACTTTGAGAAGCATTCAGAAGTTGGAGCAGTAAATAAGGGTTACCATAGGAACTATATATAGATGAAGTTGTTCATCCAAGTACAGTAGAATCTGTCAAATCCAGACTATTAGTAAACCAGTTTTCTCCATAAAAAAAAAGTCATGGCAAAATTATTCTTAATTTATCATTAATGCTTCCTTTATAGACCAGACTCTCTCAATTATGGATTACGGACTAAAATAACAGTCTCGACAATCAACTTGCTATGAGAACAATGCTTTGTAATCTGGATGAAGCTAACTAAAATAACAAACCGTTGAATAAATCAGCGAAACGACATTACCATCAGCTTTTTTAAAAGAACATAAGTCTTGAAAATGTTGAAGGACATTAGGCAATTTGCGTAACGGACAAAAGTTTCCTAATCCGGACTGCTTGATAACCCGGACAAATAAGTCGGTCCCAGGTCAGTCTGTAATAGACAGATTCCACTGTATTGTTATTCTTCCTCACTGAGGATGTGTGTTGTTGTCTTGGAACTCAAGGGGTTACCTATTCTCTCGACAAATTGGATGACCTTTAGTTGTAAAATTTGGTCCACATAATGTCAGGTGGTCATAGTCCTGTGATCGATCATCAGATCCGTCCTGTTGTCTGACTTGTTGACCATGATGCTGCCACAACCGTACCTAATGTGCTCTTGAACTTCCGCTGGATTATCTATAAGTAACCATGGTAACTGACCCTCTTCCATGCTATACCATCCTCCTGATGACTCCTGACCTGTGAGGAGAGCGGAAGGTCGCAGGTTCGATCCCCGACCGCGTCAAACCAAAAGACGTTAAAATATTGTACTTGTTGGTCCCTGCCTGGCGCTCGGCATTAATGGGTACAACAAGGACTGGTCAGCTCGGAGTCAGTATAATGTGTCTGAGTGGGGTATTCATGCTTCACTGCGGCATGGTATCTCAGTGGGGCTAGCAGTATAAAACCAGATTAAGTCTGGGCTAGTGCAAGCAGCCGCACATACACATGCACACGCATGCACGTCGTCATATGAGCAAAATATTCTCAAGCATGACGTGAAACCCAATTTCACCTCACCTCCCCTGACCTGTAATGTGTTCCAATGGAATGACATTACCAGTTCAATTTGTTTGTGCCAGTTCCTATCGACTGGCTTCTGCTTGAACCGTGGCAGTTCCATCTCCAGCATCTTGTGTCACCAGATACATGAGATGTGTTCTTGAAGGTTGAGATCTGGAGTGAGTGAGCAAGGTTTTAGGCTACTTTTAGCAATATTCCAGCAATATCATGGCGGGGGATACTAGAAATAAGCTTCAGATATTTTACCCATGTTGGGAATTGAAACCAGGTATTCGGCATGACGAGCGGACACTATAACCACTAAGCTACCCCACAGCCCCTGAAATCTGGAGAATGTCAGTTATGGTTGACTGATAGTGACATTACTAAAACAATTTCACTTCACAACACTGCATTTAACAAGTTCATATAGTTTATTAATATCTGTGACCCTTTTGCTATGGTTGATTGTTTTAAAGAAACATTGCCACATCCATCTCTCCTGGTTTTGGAGTCAGGCAACCTACCCAGCTAACCAAACGCTGTCCCTACTAATGTACTTGGTGTAGGTATAGTAACACATCTGTTCACCACCAGCTGTGGTGTTATTGAATTCTATGGACATGCAGCATATGTTACATGTTAGTTTTATGTTTGAAACAGATTATATGTTACTTGTGCAGGTGTAATGATACTGTGGTGTGCGATGCGATAGATTTTCCGATAGTACTGCATGGTATTACTGGTATTTATCATCCCATAGTAGATATCGCTTGTGTGAGATCAGGTGATATCTACATTGTAGATATCGCAACAATTGAACTGTCATAATGCTTTAACATCATCAGTTAATGACCTCACAATGCTTTGACATCACAAAGAACACAGCTGACAATGCTATGTTATCACAAAGTTGATGACATCACAATGCTATGATGCGATAAAGCTGATGATGTCACAATGCTATGACCTCACTGAGATCACTGCTCAAAAAGCCTCATGGCAGTTTTCTGTTCAGATAAATTCTTTTTTATTGATAACTGATGAACAATGATTTTGGATGATAAATAAAATGTCACCCTCGTGTCTTCTGATACCAAATATATCAACACTTGTTGATTGAAGTAAAAATCAGCTCATGTAACTTTCATCAACTCGTGTTGATGTGTTTGATATCAGAAGACACTTGGGTGAGATTATCTATAGATACCACAGTTTGCTTCTCAAACTATATGTATTGCAATATTTTTCCTGTGTACTGTTATATTGTTTTAAAAGTATAACAATTATTACTCTACAGTTTGATTATTTGACGATGGATGCAAATGAAGATGGAGAAACAGTTCACCTTGGTGACAGTAGAAAGTAAATCAAAATTGGAATATTTTGTGTGAAAAATCCATTAAGAAAAGAATGGCTAACAAAATGCAAAAAAGGTTGTTCTGTCACTTTGAGCTTTAAGACACAAAGCGGTGTCCTCCCACTTAACCTAAAGTTAGGTACGGAAAATTAATTAGGTGATGTGGGTATGTCATGCCTCAGTTGATTACTCAGGATTAGGTGAAGTGGGTATGGAATAGTCTAGCAACCATGTCGGCGTAAAAGATGACAAAACGCAGTGATAGAATTAATGAATATATTTTATATATCTTACATATATTTTATACATTCAGTTGATAAATTGACTTGGCCGTGGTCCATCGCCAGCTCATACAAGTATCAGTGGTATAGAGACACAAAAAAATCACACTGGATTGTGAGAACTCAGTTTTAAATATGTTCATGGAACATTAATGGACATTTTTCTAAGTTGAATGATTTTGAGTTTATCAAATTTGTTTATAGCAAAAACTATGATCTGTTTTTCCTCTGTGAAACAATGGTCAATTATTTCAAGTAATCTAAAACATGTATAAAAACGTTTGTGCATGTGTAAAGGGCATGGAAGTAAATTTATTTAGATAGGTAAAAAATTATTATTTATCACAATGTGTGTGTGTGTGTGTGTGTGTGTGTGTGTGTGTGTGTGTGTGAGAGAGTGACATGATGATGTAAGGGGGGGGTCACCCATTTTGTTCTGGCGGGCTAGGGGGTCATCAATTTTGTACACACATACTAGGGGGTCATCAATTTTGTACATAAAATATGTTTAAAATTATGCTTAGAAATTATGGGTAGGGAAGGGGGGTCACTGATTTTGTACATGACATGCAGGGGGGTCACTTATTTTGTACATAATTTTAGAGGGGGGGGGGGGTCATTCACATTGTACAAGCTTCTCCATAAAAATCATCATCACCATCCCTAGCCATAAATTATGAATGGTCCCTAATAATCATTTCTAGACTAGTATGGTCACGTGCAGGACTGACACATTGTATAATTTGATATGTACAAATGTACTTGTTGAGTCATCCTATTACAGAATTTCAGGTAAGATAAGGTCCCTAAGCAACCATTGCTGGTGGTGCCGCCATATCAGTACAGTACTAGTTTTGGTGCTGTCTTATTCCAGAATAATGGTTAAGTAAGGCTTTGCTGGGATTTACCTTGAGTCCTGTATTTGAGGGTCCCTGGGACTCATACTCTTAATTTTCAGGGGTCCTGGACAACAAAATGAAGGTCCCAGACACTTAGATATTATTATTAATACTGTTATTGTATTGTGTATCATGATCATCACATTAATTGTTACAGTAATAAAATTGCAAATGATACCATAACCCAGCTAGTAGCAAACTCAGTGATAAGTTATTGTTACTTCCTTTGAATTTTTACAAAAAAGTACTTGGACATTTCTGCTTCCCTGTGGATGTGCTTATAAATTTCGTTGCATCCATTGTCAATTTTTGTGCATATAGGATGCAGGAACCTGCATCCTGTAAATCCAAGGCTGTGTAACTGGGTTGATTTTGTTCTCTTGCTGAAGGGGCGGTGGGGTAGCCTAGTGGTTAAAGCGTTCGCTTGTCATGCTGAAGACCAGGGTTAGATTCCCCACATGTGTTCAATGTGTGAAGCCCATTTCTGGTGTCCCGCGCAGTGATATTGCTGGAATATTGCAAAAAGCGGTGTAAAACTTTACTCACTCACTCCTTTGTCAGGTTCGATTTTGTCTGCTCCAACCAACTACAGGTCATCAGTCAATGAGGGAAATACTGCTGGACATGCACTCAACAACATAACAAAGATTTTGCTCTCATGTCATCTGTTTTCCTTGCAGCAAATCCTTCGGCAACGTGTTGGTGTTGGACGGAGTTATTCAATGTACGGAGCGAGATGAATTCACGTACCAGGAGATGATTTCCCACCTGCCCTTAAACAGTCATCCCAACCCCAAGAAGGTAGACTCATACATGAAAAGATTTGTGTGCATAACATCTTGATGAATTTGTGTCTCAATTAAATGTAGCAGTTAATGGCTACAGATAAAGTACAGTCAACACCTGTGAAGAGATCCGAGTTAGAGACCATTTATAATGAAGTGAGTGAGTGAGTTGAGTTTTATGCCGCACTCAGCAATATTCCAGCTATATGTCGGCGGTCTGTAAATAATCGGATCTTGACCAGACAATCCAGTGATCAACAGCATGAACATCGACCTACGCAATTGGGATGTGATGACATGTGTCCACCCAGTCAGCAAGCCTGACCATCCGATCCCATTAGTCGCCTCTTACGACAAGCATGGGTTACTGAAAGTTCATTCTAACCCGGACCTTCATGGGTACCATTCATAATGAAAGGCTGGGGGGATATTGATACAAAATCAGTGACACACACACCCATAATTTTTAAGCATAACCTTTATATATTTTTATGTATAAAATTTCTGTTTATTCACTCAGCAATATTTTAATTATTTAGCTACAGTCTCTAAATAATCATGTCTGGCCAGACAATCTGGTGATCAACAGCATGAGCATCGATCTACACAATTGGCATATGATGACATGTGTTAACCAAGTCGGTGGCATGACTATCTGATCCCGTAAGTCACCTCTTACGACAAGCATGGTTTGCAAACCTCAGGGCCTAGATATTCGAAGCTCTCTTAGAGCTAAGATAGTCTTAAGTTATAGTTAATGTTAATGGCCCAGGACCCCAGAAATCTGGTGTTTGGACAAGTACTATAAACAGGTTTTTCAATAACGGCAAAGAGGCATTACACCTGTTGGAACTGACCATATCATTCTATTTGCAGGTGCTTGTAATTGGCGGCGGTGATGGAGGTGTTGTTCGTGAAGTGTTGAAGTACCCTAGTGTGGATCAGGTTGTCTTGTGTGAGATTGATGAGGTTAGTGTCGAGGAATTGTCTGTCGTATAATTTCAGTTCCAAGTATCCAAAATAGAATTCTAATTCAGCTTAGTATGTAACACGAGTTCTGATTGGTCAATGCTATAAATTTCCAACCGTATAACCAGCATATAGGGTCGCAATTTGAAAACCGATTCACCAAAACCTTTGAATGTATCCCTACACTATTGGGGTAACGCTGTTTCGCAGGACATTGTCATTTGCAGAAGCCATTGGTCAATTAACTCCCTTATCCAGCTAAAATGGGTGGAATTTGTGTTAAAAAAGACAATACAGTATCATAAATTTAATTTTAAGTTCAAACAACTTACTCGCAACGGGCTGTTGACCCAACACTGTTAGATCATGAAACAAGGTTTATGACGTCATTATTGAGCGTGACGTCACCTGCTATGACGTCATTTGACAACAGAACTGATAATAGTTGAGGAATCAGCGGGCCGCTCATTTCTGTAACTAGAGGGTGGTTTCATCATAATACCGTCCATTTTATCTATAATACTATGATCTATTCATCATTGTCAAATTTAGTGTGTGTGCACATAAACGTGTGTAGTTTGAAAAGGGAACTACTTTCTCTGGCGATGGTGTAAGTTGAAGGAGTGATATGATTAACCTTTGACCTAGAGGAACTTTGACCTGGTTTAAATAATGAATTTCTTTCACGAAAAAACAGAGTAAAACGAGTTGAATTAGAATGGGGATAACTGTACTGTGTTTGACGAATTGGGGACGTATACCGGTGGTTATATAGCCGCAAATTTAACGTTATATCGTTCTTGTTGGTTTGTATTACAAGGGTGTATGCACATTAAATGAAACACCGAGAACAAGAAGGGTTGGTCTAAGTTAATGCTTATCATGTACCGCACTGCATTTGTTTCACTGTTCCAACTACTGCGCTTACCCCCTTGTAATACAAACCAATAATAGCGATTTGAATCTATGATCGTTTGTTAAACAACTTTTATCCTAAGATGAATAAAATTCTGAGATTCAAATGTTCAATTGGCAAGGTAAAATTATGAGGATTGCAATCTTAATTTCACATTATTTGATATACTTTTTTGTTTAAAGAAAAATTTAATCAGTACGTTTTCACTGCAAACAGACTATAGAGCATGCCCATGTAGCGTGGAGTTTAGCTCTATTAAAGAGGCATTATTGTTATGATTACATGTATTGCTGATTGATTAGATTAACAGCAATCAGTTGAAATACTGGTGGAACATATTTCTATCAGTAGTAATTAAAGCTAGACATTAATATTGTGTTGTCATATCCGTTACTAGATAAACAGTGAAGATTATGTAGAGTGCAAGCTAGGAAATGTTAGCAGCAAACAGTGACTAAACATTAAGTACATGAAAGTTATGACTGCAAGATCATTCAAACAGCACATGTTCACGTATGCATTAGTCATAACATATGATGTACAGCCATTGATATTTATGACAGGTGCTTTCCAATTACTGTGAGCATTGCATGTGAATAACTATTGATACTACCAGCTGCTGAGAATCATGTGTTTGCAGGTGTCGTTACTGTTCGGCCTCCTTTGTAAAGCTTTATACCGACCAGATGGGCAGAAAATGCCCAATACTTATGACTACGCCGATTTCACTTGTCAATTATTCGTCAACTAATTGACTGCTGTGAACGAATAATGGATGAGTGAAATCGGCGTATTGGCAAATATATTGTGATTCTGGTACCCGAATGCCGATACGAATTGTGATGTTTTTGGAACATCAGCGTTTGGCAGTGAGTGACACCGATTGTTCCTTCAGCACTGAAATAAATGTTATTGTTGTGATAACAGAAATCTAACAAATTTAGATTTGATTTTGAGGGATTATATTTTCTTTATAATAAAATCTATTGTATGTCAATTATGCTGTTTTGTCAATTAATATACAATGGGAAACTTCAGTGTAAATGTTAGTTTGTGTGGATTTTAACTTAAGCCATAGAGATATTCACAAAACTTCATATAGTTTTATTACAAAATATGATGGTTCGGAGAAAAAACATTGTGATACGTATCATTTGAAAGGTGTATTGTGATGTAGCGGTGTACCAATAATATCCAAGCAGTCCTAGTCATTAGCCATGCACATTCAAATTCGTAATAGATAGTTGTAGGGAGATATGTACATGTTTCCAGCTTTGAGCTTACTGGCTGTCATTATAAACTGATGCTGATCAGATGATGTATTTCATTATCTGATACTGCATTTAGACATGAAATGAAGATACTGATACATCCATTTTCGACACAATCTGGGCTCTAACATGTTCATAACAGACTGTTTATTATGCGCATGTTTCAGTCAGTATAGCACAGTTTACGACAGCCCAGAGTCAGAGGAAAGTCAAGTGTTTTCTGATCTAATCGTGATTTGCATTCACAATCAGCTAGTTGGACATAGATGTATGGAGTCTGAAACTATAGTACTGTCGGAAATAGAAAAAAACTGTATTTTCTCATTTATCTCTACAATTTATGTAGTTGATATGTGAAAGTGTGAAATATCTGTTAAACTCAGTTTGGCCTAACTACAGTCTCAGTGGTAGAGAGATAGGAAACGGAGAAAAAGGACTTTACTGAGGGGAAATTAGTGCAGAAATGAGCAATGCAGGTTTTTTCTAAGTCCAAAAAGACTTATTTGGAACAGACCATGGCTTTATGCAAATTAGTGTGCGACGATATTGTATTACAAAGGACACTTTCTAAATGCCCAATTTGAAATTAGACATAGATTCATTATAAACGATAGCTGACGTAAAAATAATAACTTTTATGCCGAAACTATTAAGGATGTAGCTACCATGCAGTCTCACTGTCACTATAAAAAGAAACAGATAGGAGGGGTCGCCTCAAAAGCAAAACTTGCGGTCGGGCTTGGGGATAGAGATATCAGCTAAGATAAGATAATCCTTTAGGGCAATTATACTGGGGAGGTACACGGCACGTCATAACAATTGACAAATAATATCTAGTCCTGTCGATCTTCAGGTGGTCATGCCACCTATATACTACGATGCGTTTCTATGGTTTTCGGGGTATCATACTCTCTTACATATCTCAACATAAACTTTATGAAAGAAAGACACGTAAGATGTTAATCAGTAGATGAGACATAGTCAACACACATGAAAAAGCACAAAATATCTTTGAGATGACCCCTTGTGCCTGTAGGCAGCATGTGCATTTCATGCCAGGTGAGTCGACGGTCCGTCGTCATACCTGGCTGAGCGACCTAATTGCCATCTATAGTCTGATCTATTGTTTTCAGCAGCTATTCGTATTTTTTCGTATTCACTATTCGAGTAAACATGCTTTTCTGGATATCGTATTATGCATCCCACTGAACGCCCAGTTAGGCCGAAGTGGGTTATTTCGACATATGCTATTTGCAATTGTGTCAATTTTAGGGATACAGAGTAACAGCCTAAAAACAGTTTTTTTCTATTTCCAACAGTACTATGGTGCTCAGCACCAAAACCACAAATGTGTGAACGTCCTGACGCCTCAAAAAAAAAGGTTTGTGGTGCCTATTACCCGATCGACAATTGAATTTTGGTGCCAATCATATTTTTGTTTAAGCCATATGAATAAAATAAGTTTTCAGATACCATCTTTTTTTCCCGGCACCGATGGACATTGGTCATTCTGACAAAGAAAGTCAACATGATGGCGTAAGCTTGATTGAATTGATAGATGTGTTATTAGTTTGTACTTTACTTGCTTAATTTTTTTTTAAATAATTAAAAGATCCTACCTACCTACTCTAAATTTTGAAGAGGTGTAATCAGAACCACAACATTTTTTTTATTTGGTCGGATTGTGACGAAAAAGGGACGTGTTGAATTCCGTGTTACTGTAAACGTAGTATATTTCGCGCAGGTTTTATTTTTTCGCTACAAGAAAACATTTTTAGCGAAAATTTATACACCGCTGAATAAACCTGTCATTCATTCAGTCTAGCCACGCTCGCTCGAGTTGTTACCATAACACATCAAGTTTGAAGACAGAAATCTACGGGAATCTTAAAATGACGACTGATAGTAGCATAAAGAATCAAACTTAACTGTCACTGTAATGGATTTCCCAAAACATAATTAAATAATGAGCCAAATCCCATCACGAATTAGCTTAAAACAGCAATGTGTGTTGTGGCCGCCATGGAAATTGGTCACATGACAGATGGTTTGATACAAAACAGATAACCAATTTAAACGACTCGAAAGAAATAATACAGCAGTATTTTATTTATTCATTTAGATACAAACGTATCATCATGAAGCTTAATAGTCACTAACACTCAATCATCTCATTCACAACAACCCGGCTTGTTTGAAATCACAAAGAGCTTCATATACAGTATAAGTTAATTAGTCAGATCGTCAGAATTCGGAACATAATACTGATGTGTTTTTCATCTCTTCCGGGAGTAAACGGGTTACTGTGTACTAGTATATCGCACAGATAGGGATTTCCTGTGAGTAAGTAATAAATGCCGCCTGACAGGTTCGGCCACTCTGTTTGTTTTCACTGCTATTAGTGGCGGCCAAAGAGACGGCTGGCAGTTCCGGCAATTACTGATTGCGCGAATAATTGACCGTGCGATGTAGTCTAAACTGTCAATTCCGCGAAAATTGCACAACGCGAAAATAAGTACGTTTACAGTATGTCAAATACCCATCCTGTCACTACAGACTCTAATTGCATTTATAACTTTCTTAGCAGTAATCCTGTCTCCAATTTGGATGTGTCAATCACCAATGGTGGCTTTTTCACATTCTTACTCTATGTATAACAATTTTATCCTGTTTGTCTCATTGTGTCTCAAATATATCACTCATCAAGGTCCGCGTTAGAATTGGTCTTCATTAACCCATGCTTGTTTTAAGAGGCAACTAATGGGATTGGGTGGTCAGACTCGCTGACGTGGTTGACACATGTCATCGGTTCCCAATTGCGTAGATCGATGCTCATGCTGTTGATCATTGCATTGTCTGGCCTAGACTTGATTATTTACAGACCGTATAGGTGGAATATTGCTGATTGCGGCATTAAAGAACAAACCAACCAATCAACACAAATATGTCATATTCTCAAAAATGATGGAAACATTATGACAAAATGTCCCCATATTTGTCAGACTTCCCTAAAGGTCACATGCAACCAAAAAATCAAACATAATTAAAACACAATTATCACTTATTCATGACATATAATATGCATTGCTGATTATGAAAAAACAAATAAACAAAATTATAAGCGTATAATCGCAAATCAAAAGTGCAATATTTTTACCTCCCTCGAAACGAAGCAGCCGGGATACCGAACCCAGTCAGAGCGGGTGGGTGTGCACTCAAGTGTAACGGCTGGTTCATTAGCCGATGCCGCCTTCACGGCTCATTGTGTGTGTATATATAGAAAGTTGGGTTTTGTAAATACATGCTCATTTTTTGTGTATAACATTTTGCAATCAACAGACATCATAACATATCATGTGTTCAAGTATCACACCTGCCTGTCTGTGTAATTACATAATGTGACAGAGCCCGAACTCTGGCCATAAATCAATGCGTTTTGTTTATGGTGTATAGCCTGATTGGTGTTAAGTTCAAATTGCATGTGGTCAGTGATCGCAGTTGTGTATTGAATATTGTCATTATCAGACAGGCAGGCAGACACACAGGTGTCAATAAAACAAGACATTGAGTTTTGTCTGTGACAGCGACATATCTATGTCACAGTTAGAAATTGTGTCAACTCTAAATAATGGCATTGCTTTTAAGTATCGAACTGAGAAAGTGACTCGGTAAGAAGAACGTGTGGTGAAATAGACAAATGAAATTATATAAACAGTTTATTTACTGTCATAACATACAAAAAAGCTCGCGCCTGTGAGATATCAACAAAACATTATGAAAATAGCTCACACCAAAGCCTTCACCGAGTATTCACCAGACAGCCCGCTTCCAAGTTGCGCGAACCTATTTCACTGCGCACGTGCTATGAGCGCAGCCCAGCTGTTGAAACCCGTATTCCCCAGAAAAGTCTGGGGAAAATTAGTGAAACGTTTGAACTCCGATTTCGCACGTTTTTTTTCATCGCGTTATTTTTCAACTTTATAAGTTGAATTTGCATTTTTGACGCTTTGTTTCGGTAAATCCATACCGAAAGGTATCAGAATCTGCAAAGTTGTGTTTTACGTTGCATGTGACCTGTAACTGATGATCTATGGTCCTGTATTTTCCAAACATATCACAAATCAGTTCATGATAAGCCGAAAGTCATTGGACGTTGTTCATCAGCTTCATTCTTGTGAGTCTCTATTACTGTCTGTCCATACTGAGAAGAAGCAGTACGTATGGCCTCAGTGAATCATGCTTGACTTCACTATTTACAACCTGCACTGGTGTATGTTCAAAATGGCTGGTGCATGTTACCTTCAGTAACAGGTTACACCTGGTGCAGGTAACAATAAATTCTCCAACATCTGATTGTTGTTGTAGTTTCCAAATCCTTTGCTCAGTTCGATACTCAATTCAAATTAAATTCAACTTCAAAGTCACATGTCATGCACTTCTTCAACAAAATATGCAAATACCTTCAATACAGTTGACTTGACTTTTATTCTTCATCAGTCCTTGCATGATTATATATGATGATGCAGGTCCTCAAATCCTTAAACATATAGAGCCAACACTCCAAATCCAAATCCACACCTAACACCATTACATGGAGTCCCTCTTACCATGTGCTCACATCTCTCTAGTCCTGTGTCAACTCATAGAATTACTTCCCTTGGCCCCTGGCTGGAGCTAACTGTCCCAAAATGTAGACCAATTTAGTTTCGCACAAGAATTAAAGTTTTGACATAAAAATAATTCCAACTCATAATTTTGGCCATAACAGTTGTCATCATGTGTTTTAATTGGGAAGTAAGCTAGTACGCAGTCTATCTATGGTGTGCAGTGGAAGTTAAACTAAACTACATAAATTTTGACTTACCTTTCAATCAACTAAATGTGAAATCTCATTATAATCAACTAAACGTGAAATCCCCTTATAATACACTAAATGTGAAATCCCCTTATAATCAACTAAATGTGAAATCCCCTTATAATCAACTAAATGTGAAATCCCCTTATAATCAACTGAACGTGAAATCCCCTTATGATCAACTAAACGTGAAATCCCCTTATGATCAACTAAACGTGAAATCCCCTTATAATCAACTAAACGTGAAATCCCCTTATAATCAACTAAATGTGAAATCCCTTTATAATAAACTAATAAATAATGAAGTTTTAAACTTAATATGAAGAAACTGTCTACCTAGCAAGTGTTAAATGTTAGTGAATAATTCTCTCAACTATCTCTGTTTCTGTTTCTATTATATCTGTACTTGCTAGCTATCACTTGGAGAGAGTTAGCCACTAACAACCATCACTAGTGCCTAAAACTGAAATTTTTACATCTGTATCATACGCAGTCGACCTTCGCACAGAATCTCGTGCAGCATGAAAAGCTAATGTCCTTGCTGCGCTTCAGGTGTATTTGTGCTATCAAGTACTGTGTCCAAGAACATCAGTTCTTTACGGACCCTTCAGAACATAAGTGACTGGAAGTAATACATTTCTCTCTGTGTGGCTTGTTGCAAGCATAAACATTTGTGTACCCATAAATCAGAAATAGAGCAGTAATCATATAATTGAAATTTATAAATAAAGGTAATTGTAACAGGCGTGGTTTGCTCTGTCTTGTGGAAACTACGTGTTTAATGTGTGGTTCTACTTTGCGTTGTGTTTTTCCCTTTCAACTGGCATGTTTACCACAAGAGGGTACGCTCCAGGTATAAACCTGTAAATCCGTGAGCAGAATTCTCCTCCACGCTGTTTCCCGGTTACGAGATGCAGCCTTGCGATTCAGGACATAAGACAAAATTTATATCACCATTTTATTTTCCCCAAAACACAAACTCCAAACATAACAAAATATAGTTCTGGGAAGTTTCAACAAAAATCTACATTAAATTAACAAACATGATCACCACCTAATCCCGACCTAAGATAAATCTAGCATACTACAGCTGTCTTTAACAGCGGTAGTTAATTTATAAAACCACCCGTCCTTCCCACTTCCTAACCATTACCCGGTATATCTATATAAATATATCCCTAAAACTAAATACCTTTATTCCCCCCCCCAACCACCTATACCTATGCCTACCCTCATAAGTGCTTCGCCGTGAGAGGGGGTCAACTGTTTCGTCTCGAAACAAGGACTGGTCCGTCACGGAGCAAATTCTACTTTATCGCAAAGCAACTGGGAAGCTGTTTCGTCTCGAAACAAGGGCTCACCTATCCTCGGGTGTCTCCAACTCAGACAATAAAACACCTGTCGCGCGCTCCTTATATATGCAATAGCGGGCCTGTCCCACTAAGCGAGGAGCACTACCCTATCCTTGGAATGGAACCTTCCAGTGCGTGCAGCCAATCGCTGTGCCGAAACGGCAAGCGAAACCAAACAACCTGCGACAGCCGTAACCCGCATGTCCCCGCAAACACCGGTAAGAAAAATCTGTTTAATATCCCCAAAATGTATGATTTATACCCCCAGCTAAATTACTAATGCCAGCCCAACCCTTCCTAATATCCATAGCACCTATTAAACTTATCCCCCGTTACAGTAATGCAAAACTTAAACAGAATCATTCATTGTCTATCATCATTGTCATCATCACCTGGGGCAGTGGGGTAGCCTAGTGGTTAAAGCGTTGGCTCGTCACGCCGATGACCCGGGTTCGAATCCCCACATGGGCACAATGTGTGAAGCCCATTTCTGATGTGCCCCGCCGTGATGTTGCTGGAATATTGCTAAAAGCGGCGTAAAACCAAACAGTCAGTCAGTCATCATCACCTGACCCAGGTTCTGTGGAATGTATCTGATACTGAGGTTACTGTTATGCAAATAGAGGATGCTTTAAACAACCTTCCGTGTAATACCATTTTTATTATACAAGTTACTGATTTGGTATCAAATGAACGAAAGCGAGTTTGATACTAAATCATTCACTAGTTTAATAAAAATGGTTTTTCACGGAAGCGAGTTTAGTATTCTGTTTATTACTCTCCATCATAAATTGATAGAAACTGTCTAGAGTGTGACGACTCGAGTCAAGCAGGTCTAATGCCAATGTGACCGAGGTATCAGCATTGTGACGTCATGACTGTAACCATTATGACGTCATACGTTTAGCGGTATTACACTAGTGTAATACTGGCGTAAAAATATTACAGTGCAGTATCTTACACGTGCGAGTAATAAATTGCCAAACATGTATTTATGTTACATGTTAGAACCAGTGACATTACTTTATGGTGCAATCAAAGTTTGATGGTGTACCCAAACCTATAAGCCACTTGGTGAAGGTACTGAATAAAACCGAAATCGTACCCTGCCAGCTTCTATATGCCACTTAAAGAAGTTGTATGTATAATACTGATATGTTTTGATCATTCAGAGAATGGTTGAAGTATGTATAATATGTTTTGATCATTTAGAGAGTGGTTGAAGAATGTTGTATATGTTTTGATCATTCAGAGTGTGGTTTGAAGTATGTATAATATGTTTTGATCATTCAGAGAGTGGTTGAAGAATGTATATGTTTTGATCATTCAGAGTGTGGTTGAAGTATGTATAATATGTTTTGATCATTTAGAGAGTGGTTGAAGAATGTATATGTTTTGATCACTCAGAGAGTGGTTAAAGTATGTATAATATGTTTTGATCATTCAGAGAGTAGTTGAAGTATGTATATGTTTTGATCATTAAGAGAGTAGTTGAAGTATGTATATGTTTTGATCATTCAGAGAGTGGTTGAAGTATGCAAACAGCACCTCCCAAGTATGGCGTCATGTCTGAGTGACCCCCGTGCTGTCCTCCACATCGGTGACGGCATCAAGTACCTACAACAACACAAAGGAGAGTTTGATGTGATAATTACTGATGCCCCAGACCCTATAGGTAAGGCTATGTGTGTAGTGGATTCATTACCATGTACTGCTGCGTAAAAAGCGACACCACGTATCAGGTGATGCCCTTGTACAAACCGTCAAAATTTACATAACAGTAATGCGACCCTGAGTGAATTGCATCAGCGGCACATACACGATCCCTATATTTGTAAATAAAGTGTGTTTGTGTCCAGTTGTGTTTTTATACAATGCTTGGTTGTGTAAAACCTCAGGCCATGGTGCCATTTTGTGTCTATTGTTGACTGTGGTGTCAAGTAACTCGCTCAGCTCAGCTTGCTAACTCACTCACCCCTGAACTCACTCTCTCCCTCCTGAACTCACTCACTCAACTCACTCACTTCTGAACTCACTCACTCACTCACTCACTCACTCACTCACTCACTCACTCACTCACTCACTCACTCACTCACTCACTCACTCACTCACTCCTGAACTCACTGTCTTGCAGGTCCTGCTGAAGGCTTATACCAGAAGGAATATTATGAAAACTTGAAGAAGTCCCTGAAACCCAACGGAATAATTTCTTGCCAAGGTAAGATCCCTTTTAGCTACAATATCATTAAAATTTAATCTTTTCACGGATCAAAATTTTGAAATGGCACGGATAAAATATTTTCAGTGAGTCCTTGCGGCATGACTAAAATTATGAAAACAATGCTCCATAATTTATGAAATGGAAAATGTGATGAATTTGACCAACTCAGATGTTTCAAAACTATTTTTGGAACTGGTCAAAAAGGGGTGAAACAGTACATTCTTACCATGATACGATATGTATTGCGGTACAAGGCCTTCGGTTCGGTCCGTTTCAGTTCGGTATCTGAGAACTTACTTCTGAGAAAATAGCAGACGTCCAGCAAAGAAATGCATAGAATTTGACAAAATGATTCGATGTCTAGACATATTAGAAAAAGTATAAAAAGGTTAATAAAACGATGGTATGAAAACTAAAAATACCGCTTTTTTTTATTGCATTACGGTGTACCGAACCGAAGGCAAAATACTGTGGTTCTATTAATACCGCGGTATACCGTTTCACCCCTAGAATTTTTTTAAATCTTACTAACACGGTTATGGTAGAATGGAGATAAACATACTGTGTTGGAAAATCAGAGGTATATAACGAAATTATAATAGCTCTAAATTTTGGATTTAAATCCTCACACTACGCTTTTGGTTTTAAATCAAATTAAGAGCTGTTATATACCTCTGATTTTCCAACACAGCATGTTTGTCTCCGAACTTAACATTGAGGCTTCCAAATTCTCTATGTGCATGAATGTAGCATTCAGGGAAGTATGCCTGATTTCTGTATCTCAAAAACAATCATATCTAGTCGGTTCTGAATGTATTTAACAAGGCAACATCCAATCCTGGACTAGTCTGTCATACAGACCCTGAAACAAATATATCCAAGAAAGCCCATGCAAGTCTAGAATATGTGGCAAGTCTAGATTCCTACAGTTTCTGGAAATGAAAGTCTGGTGAAACAATGATGATGTGGTAATGACGATGAGGTATTGTGATGATGAAGATGATGATGTTGTGATGTAGAAGACGAGTGACTGAGTGAATGAGTTTAGTTTTACACCACACTCCGTAATATTCCAGCTATATGGCGGCATGTAGATGATAATTATGATGGTGATTCGTCTCGTTAATAAATAAGTACACTGATGATAATGATGATACAATGGATGATGATCGTGATGGTGATAGTGATGATGTGGTGGTGTGATGGTGGTAGTGGTGATGATGTTGATGATGATGATGATGATGATGATTTTTTAGTTACGAAATAAGTACATTGACTTCTTTTCAGGTGAAACCTTGTGGTTTGATCTACCTCTCATCAAACAGATGATCAGTTACTGTCGCGACGTATTCCCCACCGTGGCATACGCGTCAGGGAACACGCCCACCTACCCTGGGGGTCACATGGGCTTCTTGCTGTGTAGCACTAACCCAGTGAGTATATACACAGACTTACCTACTCCATATCTGCAGCAAACATAAGTAAATCATCCCAAACTGAGAAATGAATAATGTATGTTATGTTTGGGATTACACTTTCTTAGTAAAGTACAAATTCTAGTACTTTTTGGGGTTGAGTCCCATCCGATATCTGAGACCCTCAGAGTAAGGCACCTAATAGCCAGCACACAAAGTCAGCAGCCTAACCCGCTCAGCCACCGAATCTTCCACAAAATGGAAGTCGGACAACTGGTAGTCTTGATTACGGACTTTGTGTACCCCTCTGAGAAGTGTACAGTTTCAATTTCATGTTTTAAATAATACTCTATCATTATTACTAATCTGACATTTTTGTCAAACTCACTTGTATTTCAGTGGTACCTGAAACAGGAAAGGGGTTTAATTTTCCGTTTTACATTATTTTATGAAATTTAATGTTATATACATTGTTGACTTACAACAGTAAATTCCCCAAAAACATTTTTTTCACTTTGATGCCTGCAGGAATCTATCACCTGGTTATATACCAGGTTCAGATAAAATCTTAGAGTATGGAACGTGTTGTACTTATGCATGAAATCTGTTAGCTCTGTGTGATAAATCTTTCACAGTCAGGCACAGAAGTTTTCAGCCAACCCTGATATCTGTTATACCTGGGTTTTTTTATGCTATCAAATAACGAAGTAGATTTTTACATAGCGCTCCACATTTAAATTTGTTCAAGCCATATCTGAGCAGATTATAGTTCAATAAGTCTGTGTTTCATTAATGTGGCTGGATTCAGGTGTGTTGGATACTTCTGTAGGTCATATTTTATAGGTATGTTTCAGTCTGATGACAGCAAGGAATGTCAGATGTATAGAGTTACTGTCCTAATTGTACCCCTGATTTGCTCCAAGGGGCAGGTTATCTTGACCTTGACCTTGTGTTATTTTATTGGTAGGATTTGGGTCAGATTTGGCTGGGATGAGCACGTGAGGGTTAACATGCTTAGTGTTTGGACAGCCTAAATAGCACATTTAGGTTTGATTTGTTTTCAACCTCTAGTGTTTTATGCATTTATTCTAACAGTGAAAACACTTAGTTTTACATGATTAAACAATTTAAAGGTATGCTTTACTTTGTTAAAAAAACAATTAGGAACATGTTTTACTTTCTTGTGAAACAATTATCAGTAAGTAAAACAATAATCAAGAAGTTTTCTTTTGTTCTAAAATACTTAGTAACATGTTTCACTTTGTTGTGAATCAATCATCAATACGTTTACGTTGTTGTAAAACAACAGTCAACAAATCAACAAGATTCTCTATTCTGAAACGATTACAAAAAGTTAACTATATTTAAAAACAATAATAAATAAACAAGATGATTTTGAAACAGATGGAGGCTGAAAAAACCTGATGTGCTCAATCACTGTGACGGGTAGTTGTGCTAAAACGTAACTGGGGCATTTAACTAAATGTGTTATTTTCTTTTCATATGTATATACCAGGCTGAGGTCACTCATGGAGATACTTCTGTAGTATCTTTCGTCGGGCAGTTAATGGAAGACCTCAGGCTTCTGCAAATGATAATGGGAAGACTGTTCAATGATAATTCCATGTATTTTAGCTATAATTTCTTTTCATATGTATATACCAGGCTGAGGTCACTCATGGAGATACTTCTGTAGTTCGGTGACTCAGCAGATCTGATTCAAAATGTAATCAAATTTAGAATGTGATTGAGTGTGTGTTATGAAATGATGAGACTGTAGACCTAGTGTTATGATCCAGCAATTTTTTATTGTGTTTTTGCTTTTGTCTGACTCTATAATAGGTTAGTGAGTATTAAAGATTAGCTTTCCTATAGAACTATAAACGTTCGGGGTGATAGGGTCACCTAGTGGTTTGGGATTGATTCCCTACATAGGTACAACGTATGAAGCGTGTCCCCCGCAGTGATATTGCTGGAATATGCTAAGGCCAGACCAATTTTATATCTTGTTTACGGATCTGCCTGTCATATATTTTCAAGAATAAGAAAAAAAATAAAGTTAATTTTCCCAACTCAAAAAATAAAGTCCTATTGTTTTTGGGGCCAAAAATGTAAACTTACAAGACATTTTTTTAGATTATGTTTTGCCCCATATACACTTCATACATTGCCAAAAGTAAAATACTTTGAGTATTTAGAAGGAATATTACTTTTATTTTATTTTTTCCTCCTGCCTTTAGGTTTTCTGAGGACAAAAATCCATGGAACAAGAAATAAAATTGTTCTGGCCTAAAAGGGATGTAAAAGAAAGCTCACTCATTCTCTCACTGAAATAAATTTCAAATTATTAAAAGAACAAGTTTTTAAAAGGTCTGATCAATAGAGTTTCAATCGTCGCTGAACGACAGGTGCAGGTCCCTGTGGAAGTCACAGTTGATGGCTGCCTCAATACGGCCACAATGAATGACACAGGCAATAGGTTATGTTAGCAGGTAGAGATGTCTCCATGGAATTAAACATGAGGATGTGCGATGTAGTGTCACATGCCGGTTGAATTGTTGTTGTCGTTGTTTAACGTCACTCTCAGCAGTATTTCAGCATGGCCCAGACAATCCAGTGATCAACATCACAAGTGTCTATATATCTGCTTGCTACCTGAAATATAGCCATGTGTTTCCTGTGCTTATATCTATTTCTACAATACAGAGATTGCTTTACAACATTTGCCAAACATGCAAGCTGGTATAAACACCTATGGCGCCACCAACATCAGTATATATCATGACGTGGTATGACATATTTTTGTCACGCCAGCCTTCAATGTGTGAATTAGTTGAAAATATATTTACACACTATTGTCTAGCCATTTCATATTATACAATTACAGACTGGTGATGAGGTCAATACCTGTTTTTATGGTCCATAAAAACAGGTATTGACCGAATTCACCAGTCCATAATTGTTTTATTATGTAATTACCGAAAAAAAAACTTCTAAAAACCAAAACATGTCCATTGAGTCAAGAAAAGTCATTCTATTTTCGCTACAAACCAATAACGTTATGTCAACAATACTGTGACATGTAAACAATAGAATGACATCATAGCTTGACATCAAAATCTATTTTTCAATATGACTTTTCATCGGACCTGGGCCCCGTTCCACAAAGCGATCGTAGCGCTAAGGTGATCGTAACTCCCATACTTTAACATAGACTTACGACTGTTGTAGCGTTACGATCGCTTTGAGGAACGGGGCCCAGGGTTGGAGTCTAGTCAATATGCTTTTCTGTCGACGGTCACGTGACCGCCTCTAGACAATCAGGTAGCCGGAAAAAAATATGCTTACATAACAAAACCTGATGTTGCACTACATCATGATATAAATTTATGCAGATTGGCGTTGTTTGACGATCGTCTATTCTACTACAGAGACTAGACAAACACTAGAGATACTGATTAGCAGTTCAGAGCATCTGTGCTTCTACTGGCCAACTGGGCAATATGTATTTCCCCAAATATTAACCTTTACTAATTTTGGGTGAAATTTCAGCCTGAAAATTTAATTAAGAAATAGATAATTGCATGCAGGATGTAGGTTCATTTACAAATTATATGTGTTCAACACATTTTGTCTCCTTCAGCAGACATATAGTCTCTCTCAGATGGTTATTGATCACAAACACGTCTTGCAGGATATGAACCAGGGCTTGATATTGCTGTATGAAACATGCATTTCTCGCTTTTTTGAATTGAGCCACATTATCTGGCTGTTTAAGTTAAAGAGCCGTAAAATAATCTTAGACTGCTAACATTTTATGATTTAGATAGGGACTTTTTCTGTTCCAAAAGACACAGTTTGCGTTGAAGTTTAATGGTGCAGAATGTATACATGCAGTATAATTATACATCTTGTATAGAGCCACACACCACGCTAGACTGATTCAAGCTCATCACAATTTATCTGTGTACAATTTCAACCTGCTATGGAGCATGCAGACACAAGCTATGCATTCATGTTATTGTGATATGCAGTTTTTTTCCATACCTATTTTGCGAGTTGAATATAAACTTTTCTGTGATATGACAGTTCAGTGTGAAGTGTTTTGTGTTCACAGAGTTTGGACTTAAAGCAACCACAGAGCAATTTCTCGTCAGCTCAGTTGGACAGCATGGGTCTCAAGTATTACAGTCCGGAGATACATCGCGCTGCCTTCGCCCTCCCTCGCCATGCCAGAAAAGTAGGCATTGTAGCATCTCCATCTGTATCTCTGTCTGGGCCCACCTGCACTAATTGATCTTAGCACTCCGATTCTGTCAAGTCTGTGTTAGAGTATGGGAGATACAATCATCTTAGCAATAAGATCGCTTAGTGCAAGTGAGCCCTGCATCGGAAAGTATAGTTGCTTTAGTCAAAAATATGAGGGACGAAATGATACACAGGTGCACCATGAATTTTGATAGTGATATGAAACATAACACATTCTGTTATGAACATTACAGTAGCCATGATGGACTTGCATCTATAGCTAGCTTTTTCTTTGACACCTGTTCTGAAATATTGTATTATCAAGAAGTTTCCAGGCGATTTGATATGAACATGATGTAACGTGATGCGTATTGTATTGAGACCTATTAATATGTAGCATATTGTGACCTTGTTGTATCATATCACCCCTAATAAATTTGTGAATGTTTGTCCTGGAAACAATATGCATTAATGTTGTGGTAACAATATGCATTGATATTGATGTCCTGGTAGGAAGTATGCATTGGTGTTTTGGTGACAAGTATGCATGGTAACCTGTATGCATTTATATTCTGGTAACAAGATTGTCTGTTCCTTTCAGGCCCTGTCGGAAGTGCTTGACACATGAGGAACTTGGCACATCCCAGGAACTGGTTGCTATGGTGATGGAGCATACCTACCTGTTGGTGTATAACTGCTGTATCAGCTTTTGCAGAGAACCAAATGCATACTGCATTGATTTTTGCACCTTATATTTCACTTGTTTACATATATGGTCAAAATGTTTCTTTCAGTAACTCACATGTGTTACTGGTACGTATTATTGTAGGAATTAATGGGGTTTTATTGAAGGGGAGACTGGATAATTGTATGATGACAAAATGGATGTAAATGCTGTTGTGATTTACTGCACAAGCCTTTAATTCACATTAATGTAGAAATCCGTTGCAGACTTTTCAGATTTTTCAATAACTGGTGCAATCATTGATTATGAACTGATGCATTTACAATACTAAATTACATTTTCAGTCCCATTTATATCAACCAGGGCCTAGATTTTCGAAGCTCTCTTAGAGCTAAGATAGTCGTAAGTTAATGTTAATGTATAGCACTTACGACTGTCTTAGTGCTAAGAGAGCTTCGAAAATCTAGGCCCAGGACACTATGTGTTGTGAAGTGTTTATGTAATGTAAAACTGCCCTATCAACAAGAAATCTGTTAATATGATTGAGATATAACATATGTTATAATTGGCATTACACTTTCTCAGTAAAGTACAGATTCTAGTACTTTTGTTAGGTTAAGTCCCTTCCAAGATTCGAACCTACACTCTTAGTGTCAGACACCTAATTGCCAGCACACAAAGTCAGCGATCTAACCCACTCAGCCAACGCTGCTCCCCAAAAATGGAAGTCAGACAACTGGTAGTCAAGATTGCAGACATTGTGTAACCCTCTGCTACGTGGCACAGCTCTCACGGCCGAAAGCTATGAATACACAATGTCATTTAGAAAATTAAAATTTCTTGGAGCACAGAGGGCCCCCAGGGTTTTATACGACTCACAAATGTGCGCACATTATGCACAAATGTAGAGAATGGTCGCAGAATTTTTTTTATCTGCGTCCAGAGGGATGCACAATAATATTCTCTGTATCCACAACACATCTATGACTTTGCTAAGTGTTTTGGTTCCTTTCAGAGCAGTTACATGCATCATTTCATCCATCATTTCATCCATCAGTGCACATGTTCAATGATTCATTCCAGGCTAAAAAATTATCAAAACCAACAGTTATCTACACTGTTATTTCACAAGACTTCAAAGGACCCCTAAAGCTAATAACTAGGGGTCCCGGGGGCCCCCATGTTTGTGAGTTGAGGTAGAACCCTGGCCCCAAAATTAGCAAATAGTGTTATGATTTATATTTTCGTTGACAGATATTGTTATTTATGGGTTTTAGCCATGTTTACCTTGCTAAATTTGTATAATGAATTGGTGAAAATGTCGGTTTGACATTTCAGTCACGTGGGTTCTTGTATCATTTTGCTGTGCAAAATTTTGAATGGACTGTCATCTTTTCATGGTATTTAGAGTAAATTTGATATTTACGTAAGCAGCTAAGATATTCATTAGTATTCAAACCTTGATCATGTCAAGAATAGCATACATATAACAATAGCTAGGTCTGGAATATTCGTGCATCAAGTAGCTTGTTGACAATAGTTGTGCAGATGACTTCAGCAACTCGACTGACACTATAGTAGTGCAGATTGCAGTGCTGACTTCTGTACCATGATACATGTATTGTTTGCTGTATCGATACAAGATGGTACATGTAAGTCATACGAGAACATGTTGTAAAATATTATAGGATATTTTTATATGGCGCACATATCCAGGCAACTAGTGCATGCTCAAGGCGCTGGTATTTTTCCCTCGATCATTGGATGTCAATCTCCACGGCTCATTGTATTATCAATCTCAACTTCCTGGGGAGTATACAACTCTTGCAGCCACTAGGCGCGCCAAGTTATTGTGGCTTTCTCATCCTAACGAGGTACCCATTCACAGCTGGGTGGACTGGGACACATAGTCACAGTACTTTGTCCAAGTTCACTGCACGTTGCTGTACCCGCAACTACAGGTTGTTCAGCTTGACCTGAGCTACTCTACATATGACCCGGGAGGTCAAATGGCACAAACGGCAGGTTTTACTTCATAAAATGGGGGAGCAGAGAATGTTAATAATGCCTAAAAGACCGAATCGGAAACATTAAATCATTTGTAGCTTCTTTTTTAGAAAGGTAGGACATTGCTGACGATTTCTCGACACTGAGATGTCAAGCGGCGACCTTGTCTCGGCTGTTTGGTCATGTTGACAATCAACTGACAAAGGTGCACCCCTTCACAATAATAGACCCAACCAGTTGTAACACGGTCACGCAATACATTAGTATTCACTTGATCAGGTCAAGCTGAACACGCTGTAGGTGTTTGCACGTATTCATGTGGCCACCATCTGGTCATATACCAACGGATTCGTGTGTTCTTTTAAGTGCACAGGGTTGTGTACTGTACACTAGGGGTTGGGCAACACTGAAAGAGTCCAAGAGTTGACGCCAAGGATTTTACACCCGGTCACAGGTGGGCTCGATCCCGACACCTCAACCTTGCTGGATCACAAGCCTGGCGCCTTAGCCAGCTCGCCCACCGGGCTGTAAGATTTGTAAAATATTCAGACAATATAGACAAAGAGCTGTTCAGTTGGAGTCCATAAGTATTGTCTGGTTGTCATCGTCATGTATAATGTTGTGGTTTATATCAAGACCTCAACCGTAGACATGTCATACTCTAACAATATTAACATAAAGGGCTCAGACAGATGAAAATGTATTCATTGTTTGTGCTCAGCAGTATAATAATTGTATCATTGTTGCATAGAGACCTATAACAATGTTATCCAATGAACACATGGACGCAAATAATTTGTACCTATTGTGTGTGGGTTGTTCTCTAATTTGAATGTCGAATGTTGCAGTGCAGCATACACTTTGTCATTACGGGCCATGGAATCTGCTGATACACGGGACTTGTTTTACAAGGGTCAGTCACCTGTGCCCCATTCCTCATTCTTAGCGACCCATGAAGATCTGGGTTAGAATTGATCTTCAGTACCCATGCTTGTCGTAAAAGGTGACTAACGGGATTGGGTGGTCAGGCTTGCTGCCTGGGTTGACACGTCATTACATCCCAATTGCGTAGATCGGTGTTCATGCTGTTGATCCCAGGATTGTCTGGTCCAGACTCTATTTTTTACAGACCGCCACCATATAGCTGGAATATTGGTGAGTGTGGCGTAAAACTAAACTCACTCACTCACTCCTCATTCTTAGCACTGCGACTGTTGTTAAGTATGGGAGTTACGATTGTCTTAGGGCTACAACTGTTTTATGTCATAGTTAAGTATGGGAGTTACGATTGTCTTAGGGCTACAACTGTTTTATGTCATACTTAAGTATGGGAGTTACGATTGTCTTAGGGCTACAACTGTTTTATGTCATAGTTAAGTATGGGAGTTACGATTGTCATAGGGCTAAGCCTGTTTTATGTTATAGTTAGGTATGGGAGTTACGATTGTCTTAGGGCTACAACTGTTTTTTTATGTTATAGTTAAGTGTCTTAGGGCTACAACTGTTTTATGTCATAGTTCTTAGGTCTACGATTGTCAACTGTTTTATGTTATAGTTAAGTATGGGAGTTACGATTGTCTTAGGGCTACAACTGTTTTATGTTATAGTTAAGTTTTATGTCATAGGAAGTATAGGAGTTCACGATTGTCTTAGGGCTACACCTGTTTTATGTCATAGTTAAGTATGGGAGTTCTGATTGTCTTAGGGCTACAACTGTTTTATGTCATAGTTAAGTATGGGAGTTACGATTGTCTTAGGGCTACAACTGTTTTATGTCATAGTTAAGTATGGGAGTTACGATTGTCTTAGGGCTACACCTGTTTTATGTCATAGTTAAGTATGGGAGTTACGATTGTCTTAGGGCTACAACTGTTTTATGTTATAGTTAGGTATGGGAGTTACAAGTTGTCTTAGGGCTACAACTGTCATATCTAAGTTAAGTATGGGAGTCACAATTGTCTTAGGGCTACGACTGTCATATGACATAGTTAAGTATAGGAGTTACGGTTATCGTAGGGCTTTGACGGTCGTATGTCAAATTTAAGTATGGGAATTTAGGGTAATCTTAAGGCTACGACTGTTGTATGTCATCGTTAAGAATGGGAGTTACGATTGTCTTTTGGCTATGACTGTTGTATGTCATTGTGAAGAATGGGAATTACGGACATCCTAGGGCCACGTCTGTTGTATGTCATTGTTAAGAATGGGAGATACGGTCGTCTTAGGGCTACGACTGTTGTGTGTTTGAATTACGATGCTAATTGCAGTCATCTTATTGCTGAGATGGATTTGATGAACAATGTCGCTCTTCTTGACTAGTAATAGCTAATATGCATATTATTTATGCACTAAATCCATACCTTAAAGCATTCTCAAGTGCTATGTTAGTAACCCGGTAAATATATCAGTGTGCGTTTCATTCTCATCTCCTTGAGGAGTACACATTCATGGGTTGGAAGTCAGAATGAAGAACTGTTTTCCAAATGTGATTGTTGGAATGTTTTGAAGATAAAAAAGTTTTCTGACATTTTCCTGACATTGATATTATTATAATCCGATCTTTAACTCCTGTGCGTTAACTGTCTGCATCATGACCTGAGAATTCATTTTATGGGAGATCTGGGGTGATGGAGTAGCCTAGTGGTTAAAGCGTTCGCTCATAATGCCAAAGACCCAGGTTCAATTCCCCAAATGGGTACAATGTGTGAAGCCCATTTCTGGTGTCCCCTGCCGTGATATTGCTCAAAATATTGCTAAAACGACATAAAACTAAACTCACTCACTCACTCATAGAACATGTAGTCAGGTGAGCTTTCTAGAGGGCTGTTTCGATTTACTCACATTTTTGGTGAATTGAACCGTATCCCTAAATGAATTCAGTTCATTGTTTGTGATCACTGGAATCAAATATTTATGAATTGTTTTAAATGAAGTGATTTTAATTTTATTGGTGTTGCTTATCAAAGCGAAATATGGAAAAAGTAGTACATCCAATCCAGGTGGAATAATAGTCAACACCTTTATATATATTTAGTCTGACAGTCATGTGGTCACTGGTATTTGTCATGATAAATTAACTCTGTCAGCATGCTAAAGTTATGTCAAAGTATTTATCTTGTTGTGTTTCTGAATATAATGACTAATACATCAACTGCTGTCTTATTACTGTATTTGTTACCCAATATTCATAAGTATCATATTCGCCTTACAGTAAATTTGTTGCAGTTCTCCTAAAAATCGCTGGAGTCCGATTTGAATGTTTATCATCAATATATGAGCGGCAAATCGTGAATCAAGCTGTCAAAATCATATCTGACCGTACTCACTACTTAAATTCGGAATACAACCTCCTCCCTTCAGGCCGCCGCTACAAAGTTCCAATTGTGAAAACTAAGAGAGCCCGTACATCCTTTATTCCAAGTACCATATCTCTCTTAAACAAATGTGACGATACCTAAATCAAAGAATTTATGTAAATATGTTTGGTATCTCTCTAATGTGTCAGTAGCTCTGCTGATGTAACACAAATTCCTGAAAAGGCATTAAAGTATTATTCTATTCTATTCTATTCTATTCTATTCCATTCTATTCTATTCTATTCTATTCTATTGTTATTCTATTCTATTCTATTCTATTCTATTCTATTCTACCCAGCTAATTGACTTCTCAGTATTGAGTAGACAAAGGATGGTGGCCAGCATATCAGAGTTCCGAAACTCAAAAACAAACTTAACAGGACCAGTTCCAAATGGTAATAATTAAAGCAGTGCTGATATCGTTCTGAATAGTTTACACTTGCTCTTGTTTCTGACTGCTGTGGCGT